TACTTCCAATGATATTCATACTATACACTATAAAATATCATAACACGTACATATACATATTAACAATTATTAGACAAACGGCAGTTATGTCATTTACTTTATTAGTTAGTTATACGGAGTTATATTCTGCTTACTATTTTTCTAGTGGTTATTCTAGAAGCTTCCTATTAAGTCTCCGTGATATAAGTAGTAGGTTCTCTTTCGAGTTTGAATATCAAGGAAATCATATTCTCAAATTGCTTCTTCAACATATTTCTCACTCTATTCATAAATGCTATTGGAGCACCATTAGTTGTGTTTTTCCATATTTCATCAGTTTCATTCAGATCGATTTCATCTGATCGATTCTATCAGATTTTTTTTCTTGATTCAACTCAATCAGGCCAGAACCTAGCAGAGTTTCGACCAGAATACCAAAGAATCCACCGATTTCAGCCATCGATGATCGAATGCATCCTTATTAGATCAACTTCTATCAAGGTTTGTTCGAACCCATTACAACTCATTTAAAACATGCAAAATAGAAAATAAGCCAAACTGTATAATGATCATCGGTAATCTATTAGATCATCGACATATATTACTGATGGCTTCAAAAATTTAAATAATAAATCACTTTAAAATACATTGTTGTCGGTGATCAGTCGATAAACTATTCCCATCTGTGACGAATTGTTGATCGCTTAAAAAACGGAGTTCAAATAAAAGACAGTTCGTTGATAAATGTCGATTTTCTAAGGGTAAAAATGTATTAAAAATAAAAATATATTGTAACGTTTTTACTATTTTTAGTAAGAAAAGAAAAACCAACGTTCATACCGTATCCGTTTTAGAATTACGTAACAAATGTATAGGATTTATTTATTTATTTGCAAACAATTTTCCAACACTTTACTAGAATTAATTACGGTTTATACGTTTCATAATTTTACCTGTTAAATGTATTTTAAATATCTGATTTATAAAATAAATGTTTTAAAGTATCTGATAAATCAAGATAAGCTAATTATTGGATAAGAAACTAGCAAAACCATGAAATTGGATTTAGCGAAGGCCTAAAGTGTTTAAATTTTTAATAAGCGTGCCTTATAGAACTTAATTTTATATGATTAGAAAATAAAACATCTGATCTAAAAATGTTGCAATAAGTTTATATGACATTTTGTGAAATTTTAAACGGTAATGTATCTCTTAATACCTCTTAATCCTAATATGCTCTCTATCACATGGTTCATATTTTGTAAGCTGGAAAAAATTTGTTAGCAAAAATTAGTCATCTTTTATACTTTTGTAAAAAAATCTATTTATCTTTTATATTTTTGCACTAGTTTGACCGATTCAGATTTCAGACTTCAGACGTAAAAACAAACAATCTTACTGATTCTAATTTCAAACTTTAGGACGACCTCTTATAAATCAAAAGTGAATTCAGACTTCAGCACTTCTTAAAAAACAAACGCCACCTTACTTTAGTTAATTGCTTACGGGACATAGTTAAATGATATCATATATTATGAAAACTGTGAGACTATTATTATAAGATATAATTTTATATGATTGTTTTCATTTAATTTTAGAATTTAATATATTGATTAACATATATTTATTTATATGTATTCGGTTTATAATGTGAAAATTTTTAATTGTATTTCTTGTTTTACAAACAAATTAAAAAATGTTCACATTGTTAAATAAATATATGTTAAACAATACACTAAATCCAAGTCTTAGATAAAAAAAACAAAACATGTAAAAAAATAACACATGATGCACTGGTTCTCAACGTTATCACAATTTTATGGGTTCTCAAATGAAGGACCCATATTGCTCACAAAAGTAAACACGTTTACTTAACTTAAAAAATAGGATAATGTATAATTATCAAGCATGGACTTAATTAGGGGTCGTTTCCCAAATGCTTACCATGTAAGTGCTTACGTACCTTATCATGTAACATTATGGCCTAATAAAATGGATTGTTAGTAAGCATCTTAAACCCAATAAACACTTACCATGTAAGAGTCTTTTCACTAATTACTTACCGAGTAGCACTCTTGGTCCTTGCTATGCCTCATAGTAGGTAAGATTTTTGATCTTTTGCATAATCATTCGGTAAAATAAGTGATCAGTAATGTTTACCCGATAAGTTTTTAGTAAAGATTGTATTAATTATTTTCACTTTATTTATAAAATATATGCCTAACGTTAAGAGAATTGAAGGTCGAAAATATGATTAAAACATTCTTAATAAGAAGATAGTCGTGGACATAATAACATGACGATTGATTCAGTTGTAAAATATAAACAAGAACATATAACATGTGTGATTCAGATGTTTTCCGAAAAATGGGCACCTAATATAAACAAACTATTCATGAATTATTTATTAGGTTTTTATTGGTAATCAATAAATTATTAATTAATATCCCTTTGCCTTTTTGTTAGAGAACCGACCACGAACACCTCACATTTCCTTTAGGTTCGAGTCTTTTAAAAACTAAATATATATATACTATCTTATAAAGTATTTGGTTAAAATTCTTAAAAACTCTTAAACTCATTCATCCCTAAACGATTTCATGCCTATCCGATTTCATCTCATATCTGAATTCGTGTAACTAACTGTAGATAAACACAATCAAATACAGGATAAACATCTCATTTTAAATATAAAAAATCTAAAATATAATTAG